TGAGTTAAGTATGTGAAAGTATGAGCTTGATGTTAAGCTAGATAATTGTGAAAGCATGCCTATTTGGTGATTAGGTTGCAAGTATTTAGAAACCCTGTTGAGCATGATAAACTGTTGTTGAGTGATTGAGAATGTTTGATCTTAGTATGTGAAACAAATGTTTTCCAAAAGTATATATTGTAGTACTTTACAGGGTTTAGTGGAGTTATACTTAGCTTCGTGCTAACGGGTTTGTTTTCTACTTGTTGTTTGTTAACCCCTTTCAAGTGGGCCCAGTTCGTGAGAGAGAGTACGAGTTAGACTAGACTAACAGTAGTTAGTTTTGTAGTCTAAACTCTTGATGTTATTACTTTTTGAGATTTGTAGTTGACTACCCTACGTTTTGATAGTGCTGAACACCGGGGTCTCATCCCCTAGTTTGATGGATGTTAGTAGACTTTAATGTTTAATTTGTTTATCTTTAGCTTTTGCGATCATCGTGAAGGGTGATTGTGGCAGTGACACCTCTATTAAGTTGCTTAGTAAAGTTTATTCCGCTGCTTTAATTTATCTTTAAAGGTTTAGCCTGTTAATTAAGTTTAAGAAAAGTGGGGTGTTACAATTCCCCTTGGTCAAGTCCACTTCTCACTTTATTTATTTCTTGGGTCATACCTCTGGGACCCATCACAGGTCTCCCACTTGTTCTAGTTGTATAGACAACTAGCACTCGTGTTTGACCCCACAATTTCCAACTGTTGTTCGAATAATCGGATTCCCCGAAACAAATCACACCCTTTGTCATGTTCCCTTTTTTTTCTTTTAAGAAGGTTGCCTCATTGGGCCGCCTTCCCTACTCGCGGATCCACAAAAGATGTTTTTCGGCTACTTTTCCTGCTTGTAGGCTCTTGGGTTGCCTTCCCTGCATGAAAAAGAAAGAAGAGTTTATTTTTCTTTGGCACATGGGGTCATCATCCCTAGTTGTGGCGAGCCCACCAAGAATTCATTTGCCTTCCATACATGCAAAGTAGTTGGCCCGCCTTCCCTCCACGCGGGCTAAACTACGATTTTCACTAATGGTCACGGCGATAACCGCGCCGGAGTGACAAACTCAGTTTTGCTTAACTCTACCAAACGATGTATTGACAATTTGATCATATCTCAACCTAGAAGTGTCCAAATCAAGAGATTCCAACGAAATTGGAAATATAATTCAAAGAGCTACGACTTTCATACTGACCATAAAGTCTAAATTGAAGTTATCCACGGTGACAAATGGCTTAGAAATATAAAAAGAAATTATATCATAACAATTTTCGTATTAAAAGAAATTAAGTCTTATATGTGATTTTGATGACCATTTATGAGTTGGTAAAACTTGTTTTTTTTTTTTTTATGTTGAAAGGTAACATGTTTATAATAGCCTTACTAATATTGTGGAAGAGTAATTAAAGAGTTATGCAATAATGTTAAAGCATACGAATTCATAGGTTTTCCCTATGCATATGATTGATATACATCAATTGCCATTATATGTGAACTCTTCATTTTTAAAACTCTTATTGATAGGGGTGTCAAAGTGAGCCAAAGCCTGCCCTACAGTGGGGCGGGTTTAGGCCGTAAGAAGTTGACTTGCAAAAATGTGAGCTTAACGAGTCTGGCCCGCTGCAACCCGCGGGCCAGGCCCTTTTATTTAAAAAAAAAAAAAAAGAGTTAATTCCACCATAGGATCCTGTCTTTGGTGCCAATTCCAAATTTAGTCTCAGACTATCATTTTTGTCATTTAACATCCCAGACTATCATTTTTTAGACACTTTTAGTCCGTCTCATGACTTTTTCTATTTTTAGTAAGGGTATTTTTGTGTCTTAATTTTTTTTTTTTTTGTTATTTTTCTGGTTTCAACAGGTTTAATTGATTTAGGACTTTAAGTTAATTCCACATCGATTCTAATTGCTAAGAATCAATTGAATACTCAAGTCACTCAACTTCATCTACTTCACCGCTCCTTCAGAGGTTCACCAGGCATAGAACGAGAGTAATAAGAGTATCGTCGTATTTCTAACAAGTTTTTAAAGGTTCATCCATTGAGTGCTTAAGAATCATTTGCCTAAAAAGTTAACCTTGTTGCAGAGATGAAATATACGGTGGTACTCTCGTTCTTCGCATGGTGAACCTGTGAAGGAGTGATGAAGCAGATGAAGTTGAGTGACTTGAGTCTTCAATTGAATTCTAACAATTAGAACTGGCGTGGAATTAACCTAAAGTCCTAAACAAATTAAAATGGTTGAAACCTGCAAAATAACATCATAAAAATATGAAGAGACAAAAATGCTCTTACTAAAAAAAATCATGAAAATGATTAAAAGTGTCCAAAAAACAATAGTCTGAGATGTTAGTGGCAAAAACAATAGTCTGGGACTAAATTTGCAATTGCCACCAAAGACAATGGAATTAACTAAAAAAAAAAAAAAAAAAAAAAAAAAAAAAAAAAAGGTACTAGATTACGACGTTAGTCAATTAGGCTCTTAGGTAACAACTCAGCACTCAACACAGCCGCACCAATTCTCTCCCACATCCCGTTCGTCGTCCATAGCCAATTCTCGCCTGCTTCATATCCGTCGCCCACAACCAAATGAAGCCAAAGTCATGTCGTCTATGCTGGTGGTGCAGCAGCCACCAGTTCCCACCCACTACACACTGCTTGTTTTTTTGCCATCATCACCCTGCTTGGAGTCCTTACCGACGCCCATCCCCCGGCTTTGCAGCGACCGCCACTTTGGTGGCTCAGATACCACCACAGAACTAGCTCGATCGGTAAAATAGGAAACTATAGATACTAACAAGTTGAAAGATCTTAGGGTCTGTTTGGAAACCCGGAAAATGACTTTTGGAAAATGTTTTCTGGAAAATAAGTTATTTTCTAGAAAACATTTTCCTTTCCGGTGTTTGGCGGCACAATGGAAAACTGTCTTTGTATGTTTGGTTCATTTTTCAAAAAATGAGCAGGAAAATGAACAGAATTGTATACTTCAACATTTTAATTGTTTGATACTTTTGATAAAATTCTTCCGAGAATAGCACTAAGCCTTCAGAATAATTTTGAATGTGTATATATATATATATATATATATATATATATATATATATATATATATATATATATATATATATATATATATATATATATATATATATATATATAAAATTACATTCAGGTAAAAACACCTATTAAAATACAAACGTGTGGACTATTTGTATACGTTAGATCTTGATGTTGGATGGCTAAGATCGAGTCATCTGAATGGCCTTGTTTTATTATTCTTTCAGTTTTTATTTTTAGTGTGGGGTAGTTTAGGGGTTTTACTTCTAAGTAATCTAGAGAGTTCCGTCTTTTACTCCTCACGCGCACCCGATGATGTTGTAGAATTACCGTTTCTCTCTCGCGTCTCTCTTCTGTGCTCCGGTTCGATGTTTGCTGCCGATGTCGTTCCTTCATCTTTGTCCACACAATGCTGATGGTTGTCAGTGGGAACGTAACCACAGTAGAAGCAAGCGGCGGGGACCACATAGTCGGGGTGTTGGTAGAGGTAATCTTTTTTCCTTTTTTTTTCGATTTTGTTTTGTCGTGCTCCTTTGTTGTGTTTGTCTGTGCTATCATTTTCTTGTTTTGGGGATGTATTTGCGCATCCATTTTAGTCGTGTGTGTTTGGTGTGTGGTTAATTGAGTTTTCGAATTTTGGATGCATTTTGTATATCTAGGGTTTTTGTTTTCCCCCATTTTCTATGAAATTGCGCTTAGGATTTTGTTTATGGTTTGCGTTTGAATGCTTTCTGCAACCTGGTGATTTATGTTCGTGTTCATTTTTTTTTTCTTTTTTTTGCATGAGAACAGAATATTTGTTTGTCTATTTTATTTAGCAATAAGGTGCAAGAAGTGGTGCTGAACTTTTCTCCTCTTTTCTAATTTGACTGAAAAGAAGCACCACTTGTTTACCCACTATTTGCAACCAGGCACCGCAAAGTATGGGTTATAGCAAGCAATGTATATCAAGTGATGGTATGTGTTTATTATTATAAGCCTTAATATCCAGGCTTATCATAAATGTTGTTTTACTTTTCCTTCTGTAAGATGATGTACTATTGTTTTCCACCCTTTTCTGGAAGGGTAGAAGTGAGAGTCTAATAATGTTTTGATGTTGGAATTTGTTATTATTTTTATCGCCATTATTTTATACTTGATGTGCTTGATTGTACATAATCACATTATATTACAGTTCTTATAATGTGGCAGGTGGTGGCATTTGCCATGTCTGTGTGTTATGTTTGGTTGTTTTTCCGGTAGGGTACGGTTGGTGTCCGTGTTAGGATTGTTGGTGACCTCTTTTTTTGTGCGTTGCTAGTGCGTTCAATAAGATATTGCTCAGTTTTAATCCGTAGGGTTTTTTTTTTTTTTTTTGGTAATTTTGTATACTTGTTGTTCAGTTTATTTTGCTATTGGGGATGGGGTTTTTTTTTTTGTTATCAACTGTTTGTTTTGCAATGATGTGTGCAGACGGGCAAAATCGGTGTGTGCATCACTTGTATCATTAGGGTGTTGCCTTTATTTCAATTGCCATTGTTCTGCGTGTATTATGGTTTTTAGTGCCCATTGTTATTTTCATTCTTCATTGTTTGTTGCATTATTCTATGTATTTTTTTTTCCATTCTTCGATGTGGTCATTAATTCCTACTCTGCTTTGATTTCCTCTAGTATCGTTACGAGATTATTGATAATCATTCCGACCCCACAGCAAAGGCGTTGAAATATGGGGATTCGTTGGAGGATATGATTAGTCTTGCGTTAATTTCCCCCTTTGGTGTTTTGTTTTAATTTGTTGCACCCTCCACCCTATTTCCCCAGTGTTTGTTTTATGTTTTAATGACCTCCTTAATTTATGTTTGTAGAAAGATATGCTCTCTAAGTTCTATAGACGTATTGATCCTGGGAGATCGGGCATTTCTGCTGGTTTGGAGACTAAGCGGTTGCAAATGTCTTAGGAGGGATTCGAAAAATAAGATTGACTGTGGAGTCTATCTTATGCGGCACATGGAATCGTATGTAGACTAGCGATTAAATCTTATTCAATATGAACATAATTAAATCTTATGTATGAATTTAACTGGCTAGGCGATGAAACTTATAGTTAAAAGAATTAAAATTGTATTTACATTTTTATAAATTGTATTAACAATTATTAATAGAACTTATGGAGCACTCTTGGTCCTGAGTGCTCAGCTGCATGCCAGTGTGTGCTGGTTTGTGCTCAGCCACATGCAAGTGTAGATACTTTATAATTTTTGAGTATTTTGGTAGTCTTTAAAGTCTTATTCAATATGAACATAATTAAATTTTATGTACAAATTTAACTGACTAGGCGATGAAACTTATGGTTAAAAGAATTAGAATTGTATTTACATTTTATAAATTGTATTAAAAACTATTAATGGAACTTATGGAAGCAAGAAAAGAATTATTCAAAATTGGCGGAAAAAATTTCTCACTTAGTTTTGGACTGACGTGTGCACGGGTTTTGGATTGATGTGTGCACACTATTAGTAAACTAATTTCTGTGGTATTTAAACAGGATTGTTGTAGTTTAAAAATACGAACTTAACATTGGCAAACCCGTGTGCACCTGTAGTGGGTTAATGTGTGCACGAAATTACTTCTGTGTAAAACCCGTGTGCACGTGTAGTGGGTTAATGTGTGCACGTAATTACTTCTATGTAAAACCCGTGTGCACCTATAGTGGGTTAATGTGTGCACGAAATTACTTCTGTGTAAAACCCGTGTGCACGTGTAGTGGGTTAATGTGTGCACGAAATTACTTCTGTGTAAAACCCGTGTGCACGTGTAGTGGGTTAATGTGTGCACGAAATTACTTCTATCTAAAACCCATGTGCACGTGTATTGGGTTAATGTGTGCACGAAATTACTTTTGTGTAAAACAAGCGAAACACAATGCTTTTTATATCACGCATTGCAATATGTAGTACTACATATACTAACAGTTTCGAATACTAACTTTGTGCATCTGCTCCTTCTATATATGCCAAAAGGTCCCTCCTGAAATCGCAAAAGTCTATGCACGGTAGCGTATGCTCGGTAGTAATCTATTCCTTTATTTACTGTGTCGAATCGTTGTCCAACATATGGTGTGTTTTTTTCGTTGCTGGTATGTAACCATTTTTTCGACCTATCCGGGGTTATGTCCATTACACATTCTCTCCTACCACGTTGCTCTTTGCTTGTCGACCATATGAACGTTATTTAAATGTCGTTCCATGCACACATTAAAATTGGGAAAAATTTGCACACATGCACACTCAGTTTTCACTATTCATAAACATATTTCATAAGTTCATCATGCATGCGCATAGGCAATTGTGGTGTGTACGTACTATTTTTTTTTTTTTTTACTTAATAAGGCTTCTTTTCTTTGGTCTCTGAATGATATATGCATGGGGTGTGCATGGTAAGTTTACTTAATTGGTATTATGGCCTGCGTTGATGTGTGCACTGTATCTTATTTCTGTGTGCACGCAATCTGTGTTCTCTTTGAACATTGCACGACGGAAATTATTGGTCTGCGTTCTTTTGTATAAAAGGAGGCGTTGCTATTGATGTATTTAACTCCTACCATACTTAAATCTCTAAATTCTTGCTTAATATATTAATGATTTTTATTCCTTATTTACGTAGTATACTCATTCTCATTTTTTCCCTTATTTACGATAAAAAAAGGAATCTATAATTAATTTCTCCCATTGCATCTAATCAATCCATCTAAATAGATCCTATAGCTACATATTGTCCTCAAGTTTGTATTTTAAGGGGGTTTTCATGTGAATGCAACCCTATATATATATCACTCAGGTGCGAATGGAGCACGCAAATAGGAAATGCGAATGCATGATATCCGTCTACGTGTCCAGATCTAATGGATGAGAAATACTGATTTTTTTTTTTAAAAAAAATGCGGTGGCATTTTTTTAAATAATTGAACATCGAAGTGCAAGTAAAATGTATTACAAGTGTATGTAAAATGTATTATAGGTGCAAGTAAAAATTTACACTGATCATCAATACTAAATGCACCTATAGTTATAAGTAGTTGCACAGATAGTTATAAGTAGTTGCACCTAGGTGTATGAATGTTTGCGGGTGGTTTTCAGGGGTATTACTACCCGCTGAACTCATATCAATGAATGTTAACAAGGCAAAATTACATGCAGTTGTAGGCAAAAGTAGGTGCACTTGTAGGTGAAAGTATGTGTACCCGATCAATAAATGTAGACAAAAACTTGATGCAGTTGCAGGCGAAAGTAGGTGCACTTGTAGGTGAAAGTAAGTACACCCGATCAATGAATGCTGACATGTGATGCACACTGATTTGTTCGCAATGCTCTCCTGGACACTTATTCGCACCTGAACGAGATATATATATATATATATCTACTATACTAATAAGAGCCCAAGAGAGTTAGACCTATAATGGGTAAAAAAAAATGGCGGTCAAATTTTTTAATTAAATGAATATGATTATGATTATCCTAATTTATCCTTAATGAATATGATTATTCGTTAACTTTTCCGTTAAATCTTATCTTTTCCGTTAATTTCTGTTAGTTCACCGTTAACTTACTCATTGATTTCAATAAGAAAGGTCTTAAGTTCGAACCCCATCCAAATCAAAATTAGTATAATTAGTACTCTATTTTACTCTTATTAAATTAAAATAATAATTTAGTAGCTACAACAAAAACTAATACATATGCATTTCTTTAATTTAGAATTATGTGTCTACAATGTCTTTATTCAAAAAAATGTATTCATTATCAATAAATTAAATAAGAGAAATAATTTCATTAGTTATATTGTATTTATTTTTCTCCAATATAAAAATTCTTTACATTCAAATTCATCAATTGATTATATTCGCTACATTGTCCCTAGCTACAATGTCTTTATTAAAAAAAATTATTCATTATCAATAAATTAATTAAGAGAAATAATTTTATTAGTTATATTGTCTTTATATTTCTCCAATATAAATATTATTTATATTAAAAGTCATCAATTGATTATATTCACTACATTGTCTATTATCTTTTTTTGTGCACTATTTTTTTAATTAAATATCAAAGTTATGATACAAAATAATGCTATATATTTATTTACTAAATATTTTATTAATACCATGAAAAAATAAAAAAAAATATAATTAATAAAGTCAATCATATTAACTACTTGAGAGATTTGTTGACAAAGAGAGTATTCAAATCACACAACAAATTGAAGTAAGAACTACTTTGCAATGTCCTTGTTTGACAATCAGCAGTTAGCGGTTGGCATTAGCGGATTATATTAGCGAATTTGACCAGCGAATTATATCAACGGTTGGTAAAAAGATATTTGAAAAAATTAGCTGTTTAGATTAACATGTAAAATGACCAAAGGGTATACATAATAATAATAATAATAATAATAATAATAATAATAATAATAATAATAATAATAATAATAATAATAATAATAATAATAATAATAATAATAATAATAATAATAATAATAATAATAATAATAATAATAATTGTTTTAAAAAATAAAAAAATAAAAAAATAAAATTAAGCCAATCATATTAACTACTTGAGGATTTATTGACAAAATGAGTATTCAAATCACACAACAAATTGAACTGGAAACTATCTTGCAATGTCCTTGTTTGGTAATCAGTTAGCTCTTCAATATTAGTATATATTTAATATTTTATGCCCTAATTTTTATTTGCTCTCCCTTATGTCCCGTATTTGGTTTCAACCATACCTATACAATTTTTTTATTGACAATTATAATCAATCTTGACTATATTATCTTGCATTTGTGAACTTAGAATTACCTATTTAAATACGCAAGTTTAACATTCAATTATCTATGCATGAACAATTTCAATATAATCTTGCATTGATATACTTTAAAGTACTTATTTAAAAAAAAAAAAACATTGGGCATTATCTCAATCGCGCAATACGCGTAAAAGACTAGTATATATATATATATATATATATATATATATATATATATATGGTAGGGAATATCCCGACCGACATAAGCTCCACCACGACCGACTTGCCTTTGTCTTTCTCTTCTGATCTTTGCAGGTGGCAGGTCGGGCTTTTTCCGTGGAGACCCCGGTCGGGAATGGCCGGAAGTTGCCCGAACGCTGGTGTCGACCACCGAGCGGTAGCCCTTGGACGAAAGAGCTGCCAAAAAGGACGCGAAGGGACGCGTGGCGGTTCTTTATGCTGACAGGCAGGGCACCCGGGAGGTTGACACGTGGTGGCTACGTGGAAGACATGCCGAGCGGCCGGAATCTTGTCCCCGGCACGGCGGCTATAAATACCCACAGTAGCTACAGTGTAGAGGACTTTTGGACGATCGATAGGTTGTTGTTAGAGAATCCCGACCGCAGTCAGTCGGTACTCAGAGCAACCAAGTAGATTATACTTAGGGCCTTTACCGGGATTAATAAAGATATTTACTCGCTTTAATCGGTCTCGTGTTGTTATATATTGCTTACGTAGAATTAGCAGTATCATTTTGGCGCCGTCCGTGGGGAATCGTACGAGAAACCAACGTCTTGACGAGCACCCGGTCTCTATACCAACATGTATCCGTGGGCACACAACAACTTTGCCGACGACCAGGCGGACGCGGCGAACTCCTCCGACCACTATGCTACCCAACAGCAGGGTCAGACGATGGACCTCAACCTCAACCTTTCACCACCGCATCCGTCAAATACATACCCGGCCGCCCAGCAGCCGGTGAATTACATACAACCGGGATACCCACCACCCGGTCTGCCATACCAGCAGCAGCCGATGATGTATCCCGCCCAGTATCCGTACCCGGTCCCACCTCCACCGTATGGGTATTGGCCAGGCCAACCGATGTGCTACACTTCCCCGGTTGGCTATCCACCATATACGCCTGCTTATACAGCTCCAGCCGCCGCCCCTCCAGTACAACCGACCGCCCAAGTGGAGCCGCAGCGT